ACGCAGAGCGCGAGCCGGGCCGGAGCGGGGCGCGCGCACCGGGGTCGTGGAGCGGTGGCCGCGCAGCCCGGGGCGCAGCCCGGGAGGGTGTGCACGTGTTTTTTGAACTTGTTCAGTCTCCATTCCTTGTGGCTGGGCAGCGAGGGGGAGACCTGTAACTTCCATCTGCGGGGATTTACGTCTGGCGGCTACACCCAGTTCCAGCCGGGAGACGGTGCCACGGCCTTGGGCGCGATGCTGTCGTTCCGAGGGAATCGCTTGGTGTTAGTATTTACACCCCCACCCCTTCCCGCGCTGTCCCGGTGCTGAGCAGGCTGGTGGCTGGCGCCCAGCGGCGCAGGCCCCTTGGAAAGGGACCGACCCCGCGCGCCGCGGAAAGCTGCCTGGTCGCGGGTGGGGTGCCCGCCCAGGGAGCCGCGTTCCTCTCCGAGGCGGCACTTCTGCGCCCTCCTGGCGCGTTCAGCCGCCCAGCCCCGCTGCACCGGGCGAGTGTCTGCACACGGGTGTGAAAAGTGTTAAATGCAGTAAAACTGCTGGGAAAACACTAGCTGATCTAGGCTTTCGGGGACCAAGTGGTCTGCCAGTGACAAAATCAAACAGCCTCCGTTTTCTCATTCTCAGAATGATTTTCATTTATTAGCACTTTTTGTAGCAAGAAATAAATGTCCCCAGGCTCAGGAATCTTAAGAAAAACAAAACCCCAGGAATCGATTTGGCCTCCCTCCTCCCTAACCCAAGTGGGATTTGAAGTCAGGTGTGTTTTTTTTTTTTTTATCAGGAGGCACACTGTCTGACAGTACTTTATTTTTACTTCTAACATTGTCATTTGGGTTTTAATTCAGCTATGATTCCCCCATAAATAGAACAGACTCATGACTTTGGTGTAATTCTAATTAAATTATTCAAGACTCTTTTAAGAGGAAAGGCATGCCATGCTAATTCTTTAAAAACACACACACACACACACCCTACTGAATAACTTCTATACTTGTTCTATACTTGTTTAATTTGTTCTTTAAAAAAACCTTCCAAAATGCATTCTGCTCAAAACTTTGATTCTAAATGCCTTTCATCTGAGTGTTGTCCCTGCCGTCTCCAGGGTGGCTGGTGGCTGTGGCTGGAGGGAAGGCAGCTGAGGGAGTGGGAGGGAATCAGCTGGGGAGGCTTAAGTTGACCGCAAGATGTTGATGCTGGTAAGAACCACCACGTGCAAACATGTGCTGGTGGTGAGAGCCGTGTGCATTTCCCTCTCACAAGATCTCACATGATATTGAGGATGGACCTCTTTTTTTCTTCTTCTTTTTTTTAATGTTTTTACTGATTTTTTTTTTTTTTGGAGAGAGAGGAAGGGAGAGGGAGAGAGAGAGATAGAAACATCAGCCTGAGAGAGTCATTGATTAGCTGCCTCCTGTAGACCACCTACTGGGGATCCAACCCCAAACCCTGAAACCCCGGCATGTGCCCTGACTGGGAATCAAACTGTGACCTCTTGGTTCCTGGGGCACTGCTCAACCACTGAGCCACACCAGCCAGGCTTAGATGGACCTCTTTTGTGTCCTAAAGGTAACCTTTGGGAACAGGCTCTAGATGACTCTCCAGTTGGAAAAGGTGTGCCTTGGTGAAACACTCGTGTTTATTTTTGAGTGGGTGGGAATTCTCTCCACTAAAGTCAAGCAGATTTTGGGGGGCTGTGATAAATGGGTCCTGGTACCCATCTCCCTCCAGAGAAGAGGGGAAGGCGAAAAGCCTCAAGAAGAACCAAAAAGTATTGCTCGTGGGCTCTCAAAAACAAACAAAAATCTTTCATAAATAATAGCTATCTTTATTAATTAACCCAATGACCTTCACTTTACAATGAGAAAATTTAAGTTACAGGAATGTACTGAGTATCTAATGCTTATTACGCCTTTTTCTTGGCTAAGGAAGTAGTTCATTCAAGGTTATTTCTCAGTTAAACATTAGCATGTTTCCAGGGAAGGCTGTTTTTAACCATCTAGATTTAACTTTTACATTTGTCAGGAAATGAAATATTCTGTGCCTCCCTCCTGGCCTGTTTTAGTAATAAGCTGCTTTATAGCAAAATCTCTGTGTGTGATTTTCCCAAGTGCCTTCTGCGAACTCTTAGGTGGTAGTGACAAGTGCATTAGGATTCATTGTTTCCCAGTCTCCCCTGAAATGTCTGACCCCCAGCAGGGTGTCTGCAGCAGGTTAGCTGGGCAGCCAGTCGTGGGTGACTTCTGAACTCAGACTGAGTTTTCCTGCTCCCTTCACGACCAAGAGTCATGCATTTATATTCTCCGCGGATTCCCTGAAGCTTCAAACTTGCTTAGGTGGAGAGAAAAGTGGAATTGTAAATTCAAGCGGTAAATAACCAGGAGTTTTTTGAGAAGGAGTAGTCATAATGTGTGAAGGGCTCCCCTCCAGCAGGCACTATGCCCTGTTGTGTGTGTGTGCTGTCCCCGGGGAGCCTCACAACCACCTATGGTTCTCACCTCCATCTAGGGGATGGGAAGTCTGGAGCTTGGAGAGGTTGAATGACTGGCCCAGGGCAACAGGACAAGTCAGGATAAGAAAGCAGAAGAACCAGAAATTGAACCCAGGAGCCGGATTCTAGAACCCAAGTTCTGAACCACCAAGCACATACCTGCTCCCTCGCCTTACCGCCTCCTGTCTTCTTTTCTTTGCATTTTGGCCTCAAACTACCCTTTCCAGCCAGAGATCCTTGAACCTTACACCCCAAGGTGTTAGGGACTTACCGTGTAACCAAGCCTGGACTTTCCCACACCTGCCAGCCCCCCATCCCTTCCCCTTCCTTCCCCTTCCTTCTGGGCATAATGAATACTTCAGTACAGGTATGCATGGGAGAGAAAGTGAGAGAGAAGATTCAGCAGGAACCAGAGCTCCACCACCTCCACCCCCCACCACGGGAAAACCAACTGTTGGATATGTGCTGGTTGCCCAAATGCTTTAATCAAGAACTGGGGGCCTCTTTTTCTGCCTGACACTCTTAAAGGCATCACAGGCATCGACCAGAAGCCGGGTGAGAGCAGGACCACGTTGGCATGGAGATGAGAGGAGCGCTGGGTGTTTGAGACCATTATGTGACTTCTAACAGCAGAGAACCAGCATCTGCTTGAACCTTGCAGTTTGGTCTTATTAATAATAATAATGGTGTCCTAAAGTGATTATAATTGCAGCAATTTCCATGGTTAAAAAAAAAAAAAGGACTTTCATGCTAACATGGTAAATCCAACTGAAGGTGCTAAAGGCCTGCTGCTATGTGCCTTGTAATGGCTTTAGAAAGGCTTTAGGGGTTTCTGTTGAAAGAGTTCCTGTCATCTCCACTAATATGGGTAAAACAGACAGCAGAATGATTTTCATAGTTCAACGTGTGAATGTAAAAAAAACCCAGAAATTATTTTGGGGACTGGCATTTTAATCATGGTGCATTAGCTTGATTACCACTTAGTACACAGTTTTTGGGGAAGGATTTGGACTGAAACTAAGAACCAAGCCTTTGCAATGTAGGCATTTTATCTTTTTCAGAGGAAGCCATCCAGTGTCCCCAAATTACATTAAGCTCGCCGCCAGCAAGGCTGCAAGCCTTTTTTTGACAAGAAAGTCAAAGCAAGGCAGGGGGCCAGCAAGAAGAGATTTGATAGAACAAACCGAGATGGTAAACAATTAAGGAAAGAAGAACACTGGGGTGTTCTTCTTGACGAGAAAGTCAAAGCTAGAGTGTCCCCAGCGTCTTTGAGTGAAAGGTGGCAGCTTCTGAGCTGGAAAGAACATCAACGGCACTATTAGGAAAGACTGCAAAAGGCCGACCCAAGACGTCCGCTCAAATCAGCTCGGAGGGACAGCGTCCGAGAAACCATCCACAACCATAACATTAACAGCCAACCTTTATTTCAGGCGTGTTGCGTGTTGGGCACCACGCTAAGCATTCTAGAAGCACAGGTCACCTCGTTTAATCCTCTCAACAGCCCCTGAAGTATGTACAATTATGTGACTTAATTTTCAACCCCGGAAACCATGACTCAGGCCAAGTAATTTGTCGGAGGCCACGAAGAGCTGGGTGAGCACTTCGGCCTGCCCAGGTCCACAGTCCGAGCACCACACCACTGCTCCTGCTGTGCACGTGGACTTTGTAAGTGACCACCGTCATTAGCTGTGAGTGACGTAGGTACAGCGGGAAGCATCCTGGACTGATCGCAGGGGCCTGGACGCTGCGGGCAGGTCACCGACCTCCCTGTGTTCTCCCTCCTCATCAGTTAATAATCTTGGAGTTTTTCTTTTCCTGGGGCTGCTGCAATAAATGACCACAAACAAGGTGACTTAATAGAAATGTAATCTCTCACAGTTCCGGACGTCAGAAGTTTAAAATCAGGATACAGACAGGGCCCCGCTCCCTCAGAGGGCTCCAGGGAAGGACGCTTCCAGCTCCTGACGCTGCCTGTCGCGCCTGGCTTTCCTTGGCTCTTAGCTGTATCGCTCCGATCTCGGCCTCTGTCCTCACATGACATTCTCCCCGCTGTGTGTGTGTCTCAGTCACTGCTCTGGGGCCCACCCCGATCCAATCTGACCTTGTCTTAGCTTGATGACATCTATAAAGACGGTACCAGGGTTTAGGACTTCAACCTGCTTTTTGGGGGGGAACACAATGTAACATACAATTTTGTTCTATGTTTATTGTTCCATGGATTTTTTCTTTCATCTAACCCATCTTAAAAAAAAAAATATATATATATATATATATATATTATTGATTTTTAGAGACAGAGGAATGGAGAGGACGAGAGAGAGAGAGAAACATCGATG